TCAGTTGGTTACAGGGTTGGCCTACATATGTGATGATCAAGTTGTGTTGAAGTACTGTTTTGGTTTGTGTTGTATTTCACACTGAAGTACATGGTGATTAATACTGAAGTACACGGTATGTCACACTGAAGTACACAGTATGTCACAATGACCGGTCTGTGCTGATGTGGCTGTGTCCTTACATAACTCTAATTGTTTTGGTTTGTGTTGCTTGATTAGGAAGCTCGGGAGAGACTGACCGGTCTGTGCTGATGTGGTTGTGTCCTTGGGCAAGACACTTAACTCTAATTGTTTAGGTTTGTGTTGCTTGATTAGGAAGTCGGGAGAAACACCGGTCTGTGCAGATGTGGTTGTGTCCTTCACTCTAATTGTGTGTTGCTTGATTAGGAAGCTCGGGAGAAACTGACCGGTCTGTGCTCACTTAACTCTAATTGTTTAGGTTTGTGTTGCTTGATTAGGAAGCTCGGGAGAAACTGACCGGTCTGTGCTGATGTTGCTGTGTCCTTGGGCAAGACACTTAACTCTAATTGTTTCGGTTTGTGTTGCTTGATTAGGAAGCTCGGGAGAAACTGACCGGTCTGTGCTGATGTTGCTGTGTCCTTGGGCGAGACACTTAACTCTAATTGTTTAGGTTTGTGTTGCTTGATTAGGAAGCTCGGGAGAAACTGACCGGTCTGTGCTGATGTTGCTGTGTCCTTGGGCGAGACACTTAACTCTAATTGTTTCGGTTTGTGTTGCTTGATTAGGAATGAGAAACTGACCGGTCTGTGCTGATGTTGCTGTGTCCTTGGGCGAGACACTTAACTCTAATTGTTTCGGTTTGTGTTGCTTGATTAGGAAGCTCGGGAGAAACTGACCGGTCTGTGCTGATGTGGTTGTGTCCTTGGGCGAGACACTTAACTCTAATTGTTTAGGTTTGTGTTGCTTGATTAGGAAGCTCGGGAGAAACTGACCGGTCTGTGCTGATGTGGTTGTGTCCTTGGGCGAGACACTTAACTCTAATTGTTTCGGTTTGTGTTGCTTGATTAGGAAGCTCGGGAGAAACTGACCGGTCTGTGCTGATGTGGCTGTGTCCTTGGGCGAGACACTTAACTCTAATTGTTTCGGTTTGTGTTGCTTGATTAGGAAGCTCAGGAGAAACTGACCGGTCTGTGCTGATGTGATTGTGTCCTTGGGCGAGACACATGATACTTATTGCTCTTGATGGCATGCGTCAGACCTCTCATATGTGTTTCAGTTAGGTAGCCACCAGCTTCTTCAAGGAGACACTGACTGTTAATAGGATGATAAACTAGTCAAAACAAATAAAATGCAATTGAAGTTGGTTGCAAGAGAAAAAAACATTTTTTCATGTTATAATATATAATTGGTTTATTACGAAGTCAAACATTAGAAGTGAAGGCAGGTATATATTTATACAGATGAATGTGCTGCTCAATTTGATTATAATTTGTTGTTGCTGTAAGAGTCTTTGTAGTATTTTTTTTTCTTAAAAATAGACATTTACATGGTTTTGGCTGAGATTTTGTGATCTAATGTAAGTGAAGCTGGACATGGATCATGATGGTTGTCTTGGCTGTACATGCCATACTCTCTGATCAATTGTAGTTAAAATGCTTTGAACCACCCAAGATATAGCTTGATTATATCAACATCTTTTTGGCTTCATCTCATCTTGAAAGTTTGTTTCCAGTTCTGTTAAATCATACGAGTTTATTTTTGTTTATTGGATGAATCAGATATTTAATCTAGATACATTTTTGTATACACTTTCTCAACTTGATTGTCAGAACTACTTAATGTTCTTTAGTAGGAGAGAGAACAGTTTGGGAAAGAGAGCTGGATTCACTTTACAGGTAGTAAAATACATGCATGATACTATTTATCTTAGGTACTTTTCTGATATTGTCACATTTGTCAATTGTCTGTGGTAAAAGATGATATTGAATGTAATGTTATACAAACAGAACTTTGTATTAGCATAAAACACATTTGTTTGATCAACGTATTAAGTGATTCAGAAATTGACTTTCAGAGTTATAACACAGAATCTAATCAACAATTTTAATACCTGTATGTTTATATAGTTCAGGATGATTAATTTTTTTAAAGTAGAAAGTCAGAAAAATTATATTTCTAAACCAAATTTAACTAATTCAAACATATTGTAATTGATATGTGATATTAAATTAGTTGCCCTAGACTTGTAGGAATGTTCTTCATTATTATTATTTTTTTGCAATCTTTATTTCGTAAATTCCTTCAAGTATAACATTAAATGTAATATAATGTGTACTCACAAAGGTCTTTCATTTATATTAATCATAAATGCCATAACTTGACAGTTTAATGATTAAATTTATCAATGATTGACATACATGTATTAAAATGTTAAGAAGAAATGGAAAGGCAATTTTAAAATGTTAACCTTTTTTTTTGATAAGACAGGAAGCAAATGATTTGATAACAAATCTATACAGATTTTGCTGTTCTCATTCTCTGATTGCAGCTGCATGGTGCAAAATAATTACGTACACAACCTGTTAGGTATCTTATCTATCGGAAATGTTTGTTGAAAGGTTTGCAACAAAACCGACCTCCTGATCAACATGTAATATTGACCTCAAGGTGTCTAACTGTCATTCAGTCTTATAACACCAATATTTACCTGTGTTTTATTACCTGTGTGTACCTGGTTACCTGGCAGGTGTAAAACTTTTCTGTTGCATGTTTACTTTTGGTTTTTTACCCAGGTTGATTAAGGAGAAAGTGGTCTGTCGACATGGGCCCAGTCTGCATTTGTGTATCTGACCTACACTATTAATTTATATATACCTGGTATATAAAAAACACTTCTTGGAGCTATTATTGTGGGATTGATGATGATTTTTTTTGCCCGTTTCCTCCATTTAGACTTAAGTCTTGTCAATAGCCCGGGGTCAACAATATTTGATTTCACAGCACCAGAGTTTTCACTTAAGGATATATAATGCTATCACTTAATTTCACCTCCTTTCTGCAAGAATACCTTTAAACTACTAAAAGTTTCATGTATAGGGTATGATATATGTACTGAATTCTGATTTTCAGGGTAATTAGTTAAAACAATTTTTATAGTTAATATTCATCTTATTGTTTTTGGGTTTTATGTTTGTCAGACAGTCTTTAGAAAAGAATTAATTATACTACAAAAAAGGACCTTAGCTTTAGTATATGTGTTGTAAGGTTTCACAAGAAAGTGTAGGTGCACCAAGCTCTAAATTTCAAGATTTTACATGTACCCTTGAGCTCTGAAATGTGAGTCACTCTAATGCACCATAACCTTTGTAGTAATTGATGTTTTAAATGTTATTTGATATTAGTTTATTTGGCAGTATCATTGTGTTGTCCACTTAAAGCTAAACTCCTCCAATCTACTGTGATTTATACATCATAGGTATATATTGGATCTCTCCGAGTGTGGCGCGGGAACAACGTAATTGTAATTGTCTAAGGTGTTGGAGGACAGGCCTAATAAGTATAATCACATTAGTACTTGATCTCCTACCTGGTAATTGTTACAGGTATCGGTACCTCGGAGCAGGGTTTTAAAAGCAACATATGCGAAGGCTTTTATTGTCCTTTACAAATTCTGTGGACCCTGGAGGCACCAGGTTTGAAATAGTACAGAATATCACTTCCTGTGAAGGCTGGTGAACATCTGGTCATCAGCTGGTCAGACTTAAGGACAGAGTATCTTATTAACAGGGAATATAGGAAGGATTGGTCTGTAATTTTTCAGCAAAATTTGGATATGAATTTTACAAAGGATATGTCACACATTGACTACGATCAACTACATGAAAGATCCAGTCCTGTACAGGTAGTTAGATTTTTACATCACACACAGCTATATAAAACAAAACATTGGTTGTATATTGTTGAAAGCAAATGTGATTTGTTTGTAAAAATTCTGCATTTTCTTGTTGAAATGCCATTGAAAGGTCTGTAAACACTGCTGTCTTCATTTATGAAAAAGTGTCTTTCTTGAGAGACTGCAAAAAACAAATATAAAATTTTTAATTGGTAGGTCAACAAAATTTTAATTAGTAATTGGCTTTAAGTTATATCAGATCAAAGTTAAAAGTGCTTCTTTAATGTGATTACAGTGTATTTGAATACTTACTGATCGCTCTCCTTTCCTGGATTTCATAATTGTCTCATCTTCCAGCTAGTGTCATTAGACAACTTAGCTGTGCTGTCAAAATTGGTGACTGTATGAGTTAATGAGACAGTGTCATTGTTATGTGGAATGGATTTTTGGGAATGTATTTAGTATGAAATGAATAGCTCTCCGTCCAGCAGGCTATGTTGTTAGAAGAAAGTCTAACTGCATCAAGGGTATTGTACATTGTAGACTTTCATTTTGAAATATGGAGGTAAAACAAAAATGGAATTGTCGTTTATATATATATATCAAGGTTGAGAAACCTTTGCTCTTTAGTTTGGCATTATTTTGATCTCCAGTGATGTAGAAGAAATGACAGGTTTGTATGTTTGTGTTGTTTAATGTCTATAGTAAGATGGATCAATGTACTGAAGGTTCGTTCATTTGGTATCTACTGTGTAGATAGGGGAATGGTTGTATATATATATATATATATATACTGATACAGATTTCTGAAGTAAAGTCTTACTTTCATTTTACTCTAAGACCATATGAAAGATACGGGATTAAAATTAAATGATAGGAATACCCTCATGACTTCAAAGTTTATGGACAAAGCTTAAGGAACATATTGTAACTAGTGGCAGGGGGATTGGACATAAAATAGAAAGAAGAAAACAACATGAAAAAAAGATATGATATGAAACTTCTGGTTTTCACTCATTTCATACATTTAAGTTGCATATAGATAAGACATGAACATCACCAGTCATCTTCACCTCTGTTTATTAAGAACAGATCTGGTTTTTAATGTTGACCTGCTCCCTAATTGATTCCTTTTGTACTTTGACAGGTTCCCTAACAAGTCCAAACTGCCACCATGCAGGCCGACGTGAAAGTGAAGAAGACCTCCACACCCATAAAGGCTACCCCTGTTAAATCGAGTCGCGGCTTCAAGGAATCCAAATCAGACCATATGAGTCTTTCCTCGAAACAGAAGACTCCTCTGCAGAGCAAATCTGTTGGCTCTCCACTTGGAAAGCCATACCTCAGCAAGAGCTATGAAAACCTGTCCTTACACCAGAAGAAAAAACTTTCTGCTTACGTTGATCATAGGCCAAAATCCAGTCTAGGTCTTCCGAAGGCAGATCACCCAGGAAAGCAAAGCAATAAGGAAAACGTTCGGAAAGACAAAGAGGGCTTTGTTAAACCAAAGCCGGTCAAGGCTTTTATTGTAGCCCCAATACGTAAAGCTTCCAGCACTCAGCACATAGACAAGAGTGGGGGCAATGGTAGCAGTGAGAGTGGAGGAAGGGGCACCCCTCAGAAATCCTACACCAGTAGGATGCAGGCAATGAAACGGGCTCACAGTCAACAGAATGTCAGTAAAGACAAGCTAGCACGTAAACGAACTTCCGCTCCTGCTGATGTGATGGCATATAATGCAGAACTTCTTGCCAACTTTGAGAAGGACAAAAAATTGCTTGAGGCAAGAATCTCTGAGTTAGTTCAAGTGGCAGAAAACAGGAAAGCAGAAATTGAGAAGTTCAAATATGAAACAAAAAATTTAAAGGAACAAATTCCTTCTCATGATTTAAAGGATGAAATTCAGTTTTTAAGGACAGAGAATAAATTGTACATGGCTCAGCTGAAGGATCTAGGACATCCTGTTGAACAGATTACAGACACAGAGAAGCTGTCTCGGTTAAAGAGTCAGGCAGCCAAGGGAGGTAAATCTGTTGAAGGGAATGTTCCAAAGAGTATGAGTTGTGACAGTTTGTCGACAGATGGACGTTGTAACACTGGTAAATTTGACACACTTGACCGATCAGTGACGTCGGAGCCAGGTATGTCACTCAATGACATCTGTAGCCAAGTACCTGAGCATCCATCGCTGTGTTCACTGGAAATCAGCGCAAACTGGGAGAAGGGAAGTAATAAGAGCAGTGATGCTCTTAGTGAGGTCAGCGTAGCAGGACTGACAGAGCGAATACTGCAAATGGAGGAGAGCCACTACAGCACGAATGAGGAACTGCAGGCTACATTGCAAGAGCTTGGCGACCTACAGCACAGTGTTAATGAGCTCTCTGATGAAAACGAGCGTCTCTTTAATGAAAGGAACATTCTGTTGGAGTCTCTTTGTACTCAGACTGAGAAACTAGAACATTGTCGCATACAGATTGAACAGCTGAAGAGTTTGTTGATAAGTGGTACATTACCAGACACTACCAACAGGGAACTGCAGTTGTTGGAGTTACTAAAGGCGGGTCAGGACGAGAGAGAGGAGATGATACGCAAGCAGAATGAATATGCAAATGCACTTCACAACTGCGAGCAAGACTTGCGTGAGTCACAAGATGTTGTAGATACAGCACGTGACAAATCTTTACTGTTGGAGGACACTGCATCCAGTTTAAGATCTGAGCGTGACTCTTATGCACAGCTTAATACTGAACTGAAGGAACAAGTGGCAAATAATAGAATAGAGATTTCCCATTACAAGACTCTGCTGGAGAATGAGAAGACACGTGTCCAAGAGCTAGACCAGTACTGTGCTGCATCTAAGCGCTCTGATCTGGAGGAACTGCTTCATAATGCCCTACAGGAGAAAGACAAATTGGAGGATAAATGTGCTAATACTAAGGAAAAATTACTCCACAGTCAAAATGAGGTGGACAATCTAAGGGAGACAATACGTTCCAGGGATGATGAGCTCATGGTGGCTAAGAATAATGGGCGAACACAAGTGCACGACCTTGAGTATAAGATAGAACGTGCGGAAAAAGAACGTGAAGACAATAAGATGGAAATTGAGTCACTTCGGCAACGTTTGGGTGAGGAAGCACAAGTGGTAGACCAGCTTCGAGAGGACAAGAAGTGTCTGGCAGTGGAAGTTCAAGGGTTACATAAACAACTTGATGTTATCTCACAAGATAAAAACAAATTGGAAGCAGAGGCGATGGAGCTCCGGGAGAAGATGGAGCAAAAGACCGAGGAGTGGCAACAGTTTCAAAAAGACCTCCAGGTGGCAGTACTGGTTGCAAACGACTTCCGTGCCGAGACACAGGAAGACCGAGATAAAATACAGCAGGACAATGCCACTCTTGGTGAAAAAGTTGCCAGTCTGCAGATGGATGTTGAAAAGCTACGAGAAGAGAATGAGCGACTGAAGTCTCAGAAAACGTTTGATGAAAAGAGTAGTACGCCAAAGTCTATCATGTCAAACGCAGAATTAAAAGGAAAGGTTATGTGTACAGTTGACAGGGAATTGCTACATCTACGTGACAAACGCCAGGATAAGAATGCTACCCAGTCTGTAAAAAGCTTGATTCGCTCCATTGAGGAACAAGTGAAGAGCGGTTGTTCATCTCTTCATTCCAGTACATGTAGCTCACGGAGGAACTCAGACACCACAGATGGGACTTCTTTGTCAGGTATCCGTGAATTCCAGGACCTTGTCAAGTCTCCATCCTCTCCGAATGTTGAAGGATCTCCTTTATACAACACAAGCACTCCAGATGTCACACTCCGTTCTGCCCTAAAAAAGACTGAGAAACCCTCACCTATACGTCTTTCAGTTGGTATGCTGTCCTTTGATAGTCCTCGCTCGCCATTAGAAACTGGGCCAAAGTCAGCGCCCCCTAGCAGCAAAACTGACACATCCCCGACAATCACATCTATACTTTCCAATAGACCTTCGTCTAGTATACGACGCAGCAGTACGGTCGGGTGAGTTCTACAGAACACGTGTATACAATCTAAGCACAGGTGCCTAATAAACTATCTAGTTATCCTATATTCATAAATCTCTAAGACCATGCAGGAACCTATGATCTAAGGTAGTTATTTTCCAATTTTCCTTTCTTTCCATCATGGAAAAAGATTAAATAGCCTGAGACCAACTTAGTTATGATCAAATTTTACTTTCTGTCTGTCATGGGAATAAATTAAAGAATTTTTTTGTTTTCCTGTTAACACAGCCAAACGACAGCTAATTCTAATATGTTTGACATTGAAAATCACCTCAATTCTTACTCATATCTGTAGAAAGACAATTACTAAACAAGTGACATGTGCAAGTTAAATGACAAGGCTATACGAGCATGGTAATAAATATTCTCATACTTCTCCATCAATGATCACATCCACATCTGTTGTGGGACAAGTACAGTATCATTAATTGACATATACATGTACCTTCTTTTCCACGAGTGAAATATTTTATTCTGTCTTCGTAGCCTGGTGGAAAGCGGTGACCGGAAAGAGGTGAGCTCCAAAGATCCACTCAGCATGTTGTCAAAACAGATGGGAGGCTCGAAGAGGAATGCTCTGCTCAAATGGTGTCAGCAAAAAACTATAAATTATCCAGTAAGTGTAGTCACTGACCAGTGGTCATTTTAGAAAAGTATTGACCACCATATACGATGAAATAAGTGATGCTTTTCCTTATTTAAGCAGGATTTTCATTGAATACATTTGTATACATTTGTGTCAATTAGTGTTGCTTGAAATTTAGTCCTTTAAAAAATAATGTTGAAAAACCCAATGAAAATTAAGGAAATACATTTCATATTTAGTTTTGATTTTTTTGTCTTTTTACATCTCTAGATTTTCACAGTAATTCTTTCTTGTATATTTCTTTCAAGCTACTTATGCTGTTATCTTGCCATTTTTCAAAATATAGAAAATTATATTGGAATTGTGGAATTAATCTCTTTCTGTCTTTACCATACATTTTTCAAAAGTTGTCGTCATCATCACAGTAATTTGAATATGGTGATAACTTGGATCTATACAAGTTGCTCAACAGGGACCAAATGATTTATCACTTCAAATTTTAATGATTGGTTTTATCGTTATGTTTTAAACAATAATAGCCAAATTTATATCTGGAAAAAACTTTTTAGGATAGTCTTACCCTTCGCCTACTCTTTTGATTAATCATTGTAAAATCATGCTTTGAAGATAATTGTAATTAATTAATTTTAAAAAGTGATAAACCCTTTTTTTTTTTTTTTTTAAAGCAGCTTTTAAGGTTGTATATGAGGCAAATTACTGATTACCTCCCTTTATCAATATTATTTCAAGTCTGTTATTGTTGGTTCCCTACTTACTGATCTATTTGTGTGTTACAGAAGGTAGACATCACTAACTTCAGTAGTAGCTGGAATGATGGACTGGCGTTCTGTGCCCTGCTACATAGCTACCTCCCAAGCAAGATACCATATGTTGATCTCTCCTCAGAAGACAAGGTGAGTCTTACCTTGAAACTGCTGTAGCCTGTTGATGTATCGGGAAAAGTCCTTACAACTCTGAATTGATTCTGTCTTGTTTTGACAGGATTTGGGAGATTATCTTTGAATCTAGACTTTATAAGTTTCCGATGTCAAAGTTTTACAGATGTCTAGATCACTTTCAAATAACTTGGATGAAGATATCACATCTGGAGATGTACATTTTTATAGTGAGACAAGATTTAGCATACCAAAAATAATTCTTGCATCTATGGAAGATATTATAGGGAGTCTAACTTTGGTCTACAGATTGTTTCCTATGTAGATAGGTCTGTTAATCTTGCTTATTTTCTCCTTACCAGATCTTAAGAAACTCATCCTTTATCAATATGTTTACTTATCAAAATACTGATCAATCACAAGTTTGAAGTAACACATAAAAGAACTTTGTGTTTTAGCATTTCATAACCCACAGGTTAAGTATAATGCTAACTATAACTTGTTGACTTGTAAATCCTATAACTGGCAGGTTTAATATCAAAGTTGAATGAATCACTACTTCAGCAGTAAATCTCTATAAATTGCAGACTTAGCAACAATTTTGGAATAACCCACAAATTTAGCAGTTAATCTCTCTATAAACCGACGGCTTTGCATCATAATTCATAATGTGTTCATTTACCTTTTTTGTTTAGTTTTAATGTTAAAGCCTTTTTCAATCTACCTTCCTATCACAGCTGTCTGCAATATTCAGATCGCAGATTAGTGAATAATTACTGTTACAATTGTAGATGTATATTTGCTAAATCTAGAAGTTTTCATGAAGTATGTTACAGCTGAATTTTATTTTTTTTTTCACTGCTGGCTAGGCAGTCTTTATATTCATCTACACTTGAAACTGATTCAACAAGTTGCTAGACTATGTATAGTTTTCATCATTAAGGTGTTTATGTAGATATGTGGATACGAAGTTATAGGTGATTTCATGGATCATAAATCCTCAACTAACTCGCATGTTACCCCATCAAAAATAGTGTAGGGGGAGATAACTTTCAATAAATTTGAAGTTCTTTCATATCATATTTTATCTTTACAGAGAAGAAACTTCAATTATGCATTTGAAGCTGCTGAGAGTGTTGGGATATCTTCTTCAATCCTGGTAAGGCTGATATGTGTGTAATGGTGATACCTCATGGTAAAACCTGCCACTTTGACAGTATTTACTTTATGATGCAATCTGTCCACTTTTTTCCCTGTAATTCTCATTTGTCATTCAAAATCTAGCTTCTTATACAGTGTCCTTTGATCAAAATTCCATGTATTTTGCAGAAATCAGTGACAAAGGTCTAGGTCACTGTTACTTTCTGCAGAGACTCAAACATATCTATTTCTGTTGAACTTTTGAAATTTTGTTTAACATCTTGCCTGTTAAATTATGTTACAGTTAATATTGTTAAGATTATTCTTTTCTGAAAGTAAGGACACCATTGTGAGATTTAACAGTGGAAGAAATGGTTCATGCGAGTTGTTTCTTATTTGGTTAGGAATAAGATTCAGGCTTGGGAGGATTTGTGTTATTGTTGAAGCCATATTGAGATGTAAATGTGAAAGGTCAATGTCTTTGTTGCTACATTTGTTTCAAATTACAATATCAAATTTTGTTTTTGCGAAAAAAATTTGATTTTTTTTTTTACTCCTTTGAACACATTTTATACAAAGTGTCCATGTCTAAACAGTTATTCGGGATGTGTTTATGGTTCCAATGAATGATAGAATGAACCAATAGTTAATCATTATCTCTATCAAGTTTTCTGTGGGCTCATAAATATTCGCTTTTTTCCTTTTCCTTTCTCTGAAGTCGACTTTCCTTTTTTTTCTTTTCAGAATATTAATGACATGGTTGTGATGGAACGTCCAGATTGGCAAGCTGTCATGGCATATGTGACGTCCATCTACAAACACTTTGAGATAGAAGCAAAACCGTGAAAGGCTTCCTAAATGATTAGGACCCAGGAGAGAGTGCGTGTAAGCGGGGTTGAGAATACATGGTGGCAAAATGCTACTACCAGGACACATACATCAGTTGGGAAAAGATTTATCTCAATTTTATACTTTTATTGCTTTGGTGCTCACCTTGTGTTGTAATACTGTTTACACTGTGTGCCTGTCCAGGTTAAACAGATACTGTTGTACAGAAATGTGGTTTTTAACTCAAAGTTGATTTTAAATATTTCTAATGATGGTCAGCTACACACTTCAACTGAATCAGTGGTTCTCTGCGACAAGTCATTAGGGTCTTCCCCCTGGAACAACTCTACTTTTTGTTTGCATCTTTGTTGGTATTCAGATGTCACTTCATTGGAAACATTACTTCTGAGAATTTCAGGGGAGAAGGGAGCAACTTGTGATGCAAATTTTAGACAAAAATTACTTTTTGTCATTTGAATTATTGTATATTTTGTTATGGCATTTTCATTCATGGATGAGATTTTAGGTCCATGAGATGCGAGGACCGTGAAAAATGAGGACCATAGGAATTGAGGACCATCAGATGTGAGGACCAATGTGATTTTAGGATGAGAAACTTAAATTTAAGTTGCCAAACCCTCCAGAAGTATTTTCAGTTTTTGCTTCAAAATGGCATCATATGCAAATGTAATACTGGTTTTTTTTGTTGTTTTTTTTTTTTTTTTTGTTTGGGTTTTTTTTTTTTTTTTTTGAGATTATCATTTTTCTATTTAATACATTAGTTAGAATTCAACAAATTTTAAACTGTTTATTCATTATGTTTGGTTTGTAAAAACACTTGGATCTTATAAAAAAAAACATGAAAAATTAATTTCAATGTGATCCAATTTCATTATTTAGATTTCTGTTTTTATGATTGTCTAGATCCTCTACACCTGGCACTTGTTAATATTGTACTAACAACAAACCATATGTATCCCGCAATAAGCCAGGGGAGGGGGTGTATTGAGAGGTGTGGGTGTATTGAGAGGTGGGGGGACAAAGTTATATAACCTCAGATTCAAATTCATGGGGATGGGCCTATTGCATGACAAGGGAATCACTGTTACTTCTACTGAATAGCATGTTTTTATTGGCGGGCTTTTTTATCAGGTACGGGCTTATTAACATGCATGGGCTTATTGCTGGAAACATATGGTTTTCTGTAGATAGTTAGAAATGCATAATACAATCTACTCATCAATTAATGCTCCCTACCAAGAGATTTTTATCTCAGTGATGCAGGATCCCTGTCTCGTTACTCTGTTACATTTCCAACCCATTTTAAATACCTGCATTTATATATATATTGCTTCGCCCTAACCTAAGATTAGGACTCAGTACTTTTCATAGTTGGTTGGTGACAGGTTTTCTGTCTCAGCAACTCTCTTTTCACCAGGCGTTGTCTCCATGACGAATATTGTTGCTCTGGCAACATCAGCAGATAACATCATTTATTTTTTGTAGATAGGTGAACACCTTGCCATGCCCCAGTCCTGCTCCAGGAAACATTTCACCTATTGCAATGTGATTTTGGATATATTGTATCAAATACAACGCCTGCTTCTAGACAATACATGTTTTGAAAATACAACTTGCTTCACTATAGACACTTTGTGACACATTTTGGGCTGAATCCCTTTTAAAAAATGAAGATATTTCCATTCTTTACAATTAGTTATGATAAAAAAGAAATGAACAAGTTACATAAAAGAATTTGTTGTCACATCTAATTTTGACCCTCCTCCTCTCTTTTTCTTCCTTTTTACTTTTATGAAGTGATGTCTGCAGCTACATACCTTATCAAACTCATTCTGTTCTATGCATATTTTTCATCATACAAATACATAACCACCTTATTATGGAGAGCATTTTCTCCCACACTGCTCTGTTCAAGTCAGTTCAGCCATATATATCGGACCATAAGACTCGCTTACACAGAGGTAGTAGCAGATACTGTTTATGTGAAGTTATTATTGTTATTGTATTTAATTCTGTACTTAATCATATTTATTTCTTTTGATTAATAGTCCCTTTTTGTTTTAAACATTTTGAAGACGACTGTATTATCTTCCTTGCCAAAGTACTTCTTTGTTTTGTGTAAGTAAGTTTATGTATCCATGTTACAGTATTATTCCATTCCTATGTAATCAATGCACTACACAGAGGAAAGATGTCACCTGTATTTCCCAGACTAACCTTCACACTTTGATCTGTATGCACAATTTAGCTAAATCCCATATATATGTATAAAGATTCTCAATTATGCTGTGCTCTATTTCTGGTAAAGTTACACTGAAGAAAATTCCTGATATCAAGATTCTCTACTTTGCTTCGCTGTATTTCTGATAAAGTCACACTTAGATAAATTCCTTTCATTAAACTTCTTTTCCATGCTTAGCTATACTTTGGGTTGGGTAGCCTCTACAATACATTGTTAGGAAAGTATGATAATACTATGTATAAATGCGTTCCATTCTAATGTTGGTGTCTTTTTACATAAATCACAAATAGAGTAGTCAGTGACTTATAATTCACTTGAGATTTTAAACATTGATGGAACTTTTCAAATTGTCTCTATCTTTTGTCATTTGGCTGGTAGTTATGGTAATGGTTGAAAAAATAATCTTGATTCAATGAAGTTGCCATTATACCATTTTGCAAAATGGTTTCAATCAAATTTGTAAATCAAAAGATACCACAGCAATTATATACATCTTAATCATTGAGAAATGTTGTTCTGGGCCATCTTCAAGTCTTTGATGTGTTATAAAAGTCCCTCATCTTATTTATTTTGTCATTGCATTTTTAACATGGCTGCCACTGTCATTGATTGGTTGAAATTTAAACCGTAGATATCTTCTTAATTTGCCTTACTGTAGTAACATCCTGATGCATGCCTTACGGCTTAGTGAAGTCTAATCACTTTACGGTAATTTGGGGGGCTCGTTAGAAGTCTCTTTTGCAATGAAAGCTTGCTTATAACTAAGATAAATCTGATCTCCAGAGGAAGCCCTATAAGAGGGTGAAACTGGTCGTCAGACTGATAAATTTACTAACCCAGACCCGTTGCCTGTTGTGAATAATCCGTTTAACTATATAACATTTCCTATTAGCCACCTTTCATGCCTTGAGGGTATTAAGGGTCCAGAAACTTAGCATCCTTCATTGAAGACATAACAGCATTTGTTCAACTCCATCCCCCCTTTAAAAAAGACACCACGAAAAAAATTACTTAATTGATTATTGGTGATTTTTTAATTAATCATGATATATCTGTACTTGTATCTCAGAATTTTACCATTTTCCGAGGATCAGTTTTCCTTGCATTTTATCTGGTACAATACATAGAGTAAGATTGATTGTTTTTAGCATAATATAATTTGTCAATATTGTCTCAAATATTTTTTAGTTTTTATATAAAGTGTACCAACTCGCTTGGTGTTTTTATATACTGTGGTTTTACGAACAGATGTTGTCTGTTATAAAGTTGGCTTTTAATCGTTGTTAAAAATAAAGGAAAATACTGTGAATATTGCACAAGTTACAATCTGACCCCAGTTGCTCAAAGGTTATTTCGTGTTAACCAGTGGTTTTGTGAAAAATTTGAACTATTGCCACTGAACAAACAAGGACTTTAAAAAAGAACTTGACACCCAAAAACATCAGTTTGACTTGTCTCTACAAACGTAATTTTGTTGTATTTACATTTGAAAATTTTCGCTTACCACTCCTTATCTCTAACCAGTCTTTGATCAACCAGGGCCAGGTTTCAAATCCAAATTTTGTTTCGGAAATTAATCTGTTTTTATTACTTAAATTATATAGTTGCTGTAATTGTCCAATTGTTGTGTTGACTCAAGTACCAGGTATAACAGTCAAGTGTCTTGTAAAAGATTAAAGAGATAAGTGTTATTCCAGATCTGCTTCACCAGGACTTTATTTGAAATCATAGCGATGGTATACTGTATTTTATGCATAAGGATTTTTACATTTACCATTTATACAGATTGTGTTAGTGTTTATGGCGAGAAAGAGGATTCCAGCTTGCTCAAAGTTTATTTTTTACTGGACAAAGTTAAACAGATAAAGAGAGAATTGGGAGAGAAAGAAATGTTGGAACATGAAATGAGAGATTTTTAAGAGACTGATGATGTTTTAGGAGTAGGAGAAAGGGAGAGATAAGAGGTCTGCAGACTGAGATATGAGATCCATTTCTCGACACAAAAAAATGATACGAGAGGTAGATAGTGATATATTGATTGAAATGGGAGAGATTTTAAAATAGAAATACTGTAGATCACTTGTGCTTTTTCTGTACACTTATTTTGTGTTTGCTGCACAGATGATACATAGGGGAGATTAAAAAAATCAATTCCTGTATTGTCTTGGCCTTGTGTAATAGTAAATAAGATGCAGTAATGATGTAGGTTTCACTTGATCAAGTCTGTATGTTGCAAAATTGTTTTCCACCTGAAAACTTTTGAAATAATCATTCAATTCTCTTTTAACAGTTGACATGATGTTTAGATAATTTAGAATCAAAACTTTTTTTTTGTCAATGTTAGAGTTATTCCCCTTTATTACAAAGTGTCAATTGTGATAGGTCCTTGTGGTGATACCCTATTGTGCTCTGGAATATGATAGATATTTTCTCACTTCCTAAGGCACCAAGGTCATTGTTCCTTGGAACAGAACAGAAAAATTTTGATTACTAACAGTCAAAGAAGTCTTCTGTATGAATACAAAATTTAAATTTATAGTAAAATGCAAGTGATTTCAGTATGTAATCATTGAATAAGAAATATCACAATTGGTTAAGGTAGAGGAGATGGAAAGTGAGAGAAAGTGAGAGCTTCTTTGAAGGATGTGTTTATTTGTGTTTTTACATTGGCTAGATTTCATGTTTGGACTTGTCCACAAAACACCCACAACCTAGACACAAATGTATTGTGAACTTCTGAAGTTTCCACTCAGTA